AGAAGTCATGCCGATGGGAAGAAAGACTCCAGTCCATGAGTCAGGAAACCTGGAGGAGGGAGAGTTCTAGAGGCCTGGGAACACTTTTGGGTGCACCCTAGTCCCCAGAATATCCCAGAGCTACACCCTTAATAACCTTGGGAAGGTCTCCCCACATTCCTGTCTTCTCCAGACTCTCCTATGCTGAGAAAAAAAAAAAAAAAGACTTACTGGCCCCATCCCCTGGAGTAAGTTAATTCCCAAACCAAACCTCAGTTTCTTCACCCGTAAGTGGAGACCATTACTCCTATCCATTTTTCCTCAGAGAGCTGTGAAGAAGTTTGAAAGATGTGAAACTCAGCTCATCCGGTCCCTCTTCCACCCCACCCTTTCGCAGGCCCAGTGCGATCAAAGCCAGCTGGCCCCGTGGAAGGACCCCAAGCAAGAGTCCAGAGCTCTAGCTCCAGCCTCCAGGTCCCAGAGGCTCAGCAGGCCAGTTGACTTGAGAAATCAAAGGTTAGGGATGAGACCTTGAACAATTAAGGCTGAGACAATTTTTTCTTTATTTTTTTTTTAAGATTGTATTTATTTATTTGACAGAGAGAGATACAGTGAGAGGGAGCACAAGCAGGGGGAGTGGGAGAGGGAGAAGCAGGCTTCCCGCCGAGCAGGAAGCCCGATGCGGGGCTTGATCCCAGGACCCTGGGATTATGGCCTGAGCCGAAGGCAGACGCTTACCAACTGAGCCACCCAGGGGCCCCTGAGACAATCTTTTCAACACATCTCTGCCACCAGCTCATTGTATGACAGTGGTTGGGTTGCCCACATTTTCTGTATCATAACCAGTTCTTATCCAAACTTGTAGGACTAAAGGAAGGGAAAGAATATATTCATTGTGCCTCTGCTTAGCAGCAACCAGTTTACCTGAAATGTAAAATGTTATTTCCAATTCTATACCTGAAGGAACTGAGGATCAGAGAGCCGCGCTGACGGCTCCTTGGTGAGAGAGCAGAGTCGGGGTCTCCCCTGCTGTGTGTCCATCTCTCTACCCTGCTTATCTCTGCTGGAGAGGAATGAAGGAGACGCCAGAAGAGGACAGGGGGAAAGGGGGACGAGGAGGGAGTTCTCATTTCACCCTAAAAGTCTAGAATCACCACCAGCTGGAATCCCAAAATAGCCCCTGATTTACATGACACTTTGCTGGGAAGGAACAGGGTCTGGTGCCAACCTAAGCGCTCTCTAAAAAGACCACTCACCATTCTGCCCTCAGAGGACAGGGCCCAAGACTCTAAATTCCTCCGCTGCCGCTCAGGACTAGTCCATCTTGAAATGATTCGCAGGGTCATTCTAACCACCACCACCCCACCCCACCCGCCATCCTGAACACCTCTGATAAGCTCTAACTCACCATCATGACGTACAAATTACAAGGAGGTCGTTTTTGATCAGTCATGTTGGCAGGATGTTTTAAAATTGATCTCTAATGCTGATGAGTGTGTGAGAAAATGGGTCCTCACACTATTTGTGAGGATGTAAATTAGCTGCACCTTTTAGGAGGATACTCCAGCAGTGCCTTGGACCCATCGAAATGTAAACTGCGCTCAGGCATCAAAGGATCTCCTCCCACCAACCTCAGACACAACTTAGTGGAAATCGGACAGCCGCTAGCAAATGGGCCAATGGAAAGTAAAGCTGTTTTCACCTGCCCCGAGATAAATGAAGCCAGTGAGTCCAAATTAAAGCCCCCTCCCCAAAAAAGAAAATTGTTTTAAAGATCTAAGAAGTTCTCGGAATTGAGATTGTAGGGAAGTCCACAATGGCTGTGAGGCCAGTGATCTAGGATCGGGAGGCACTGAAATTGTTTTCTCCACCGCTAAATTGACACACAGACACACACACACACACACACAAATGCAAATTGAGCTACTTAACAACAGAGCTACCCAAAGTTACCTTAATTATAATAATCAACTAATCACACCCAGAAAAGTGGGGATTGCCAGCAATGAATGCACACCCACACACCCACACACACAGACACCCGCCTCTCTCTTCCTCTACTGAGAATGTCTACCATCAACTATTCTATGCATACCAACACATTCACAATACACACACACTGCCACACAGAAACACAGCACAAGTCCCGGGTGGGCACCCCGAATCTCGACAAACGCACCAGTTTGAGCTCCAACCTTTTCAGTTGGCCAGTCCCACATTTTATCTCACTGCCCCGGGGTCAGTCTCTGGTGCTGGGAATTGCCACCCACCCCCCACGCCCCACCCGTTGCTGCCCATGGAGGAGAGAGTGACTGTGTCACTGGTCCATACTGAGGGATGGGTCTAGGGTGGGTGGGAGAGGAAGGATCTGGGAGGGAGTGAGTCAGCCCAAAGCAAAAGGCCGTGGGGCTGTGGGTAGGCCTGGACTGGAAGAATTTTTCAAAAAGGAAGAAGGCTGTGGGTGATGTGGTGGTGACTGGTAGGTCACTGGAGCCCCCGGAGGGACAGGCCAGCCCTCCACACAGGAGAGAAAGGGTGCTGTTCTCTGAACCCAAGCCTTGCTCTTCAGAAGCCAGTAGCGGAAGGAAATGGCCGCCAAGTTCCCAGATCACTGGAGCCCAAGCTCAGCACCAGGGTGCTGCAGGCTGGTGGGACTGAATTGGGGGCAACGTGTTCCCTGTCCCCACCACCCCACCATGGGGCCCCCGAGGTCTGATTCAAGGGGAGGCATCAAAGAAAATGGTGAGAGGCCACTGCCCCCTTCCAACGGGGACCCCACGGTGTCCGAGAAGCAGTCCCTCCACATGGATAGAAAGCGGGATTAACACACACACACACACACACACACGCGCGCGCGCGCGATTATGAAATGATAGGGAAATTTGATGATATTTATGAATTTCTTCTCGGGTTTGTTAATGGTATTGTGTTTACTTTTAAAAAGCCATTTTTGGGGGCGCCGGGGTGGCTCAGGCAGTTGAGCATCCAACTCTTGATTTCAGCTCAGGTCATGATCTCAGAGTCATGAGATCGAGCCCCGCGTCCAGCTCTGTGCTGTGCGTGGAGCCTGCTTAGGATTCTCTCTTTCCCCCACCCCCCAATAAATAAATAAATAAATAAATAAATAAATAAATAAATTTTTAAAAAGCCATTTTTAGACGTGCATAGAGAAATTTTAAGGATGAAAGAATATAGTGGCTAGGATTTACTTACTAAATACTTAACACCATCACTAATATAATTGCAGACTAGGGGGTAGGAGGTGGAAGCGGGGTGAGTGAGGATAGAGAAGAAACAAGATTGGACCAGTGATAACAACTGTTGAAATTGGGTGATGGTAGGTGGAGGTTTTTCTTGTACTTTTGTATATATTGGAATTTTTCCTAATAAAGGAAAGTAGGTTTATTGTTCTAAAAGGGAGACAACAAGACTTGTCAACAGAGAATTATTCAGCAAGAACATAAAGGAAAGAAGGAAGCCACAGGGGTAGTGACAGTGACCTCACAGAGATGCATCCCCGTGAGACACCCCCCTACCCAGGCTGCAGGCAGCCCACAACTAGCCCCGCACCCAGCGGAGCCCCAAAGTGCTGGCCAATGCTCTGTCCACCCCGCCCCTCAAGACTGGAAGGGCAGGGGCCTGGCAGCAGGTGGCAGGGAGACCTGGGCCGGGCTCCAGGGTGGGAGGGCTTCCTGAGCACCCAAGAGTAGAGGCCCGAGCTCAGGTCTGCTGTGTGACCGAGTGCAAGTCACCAGCCATCCCTGTGCCTCAATGCCCTTAGCTGTGACTGGGGAGACCTCTTGGCTTGCGTAGCACACAGTGAAAGAATGGAAGTGAAAGCACTCTGAGCACAGCAAGGCCTTTGGACGGTGTAGGTGGCTGTTTTTACTCCTGGCTGTGACCGGCTGGAGAAAGAAACCCAGGCAGATACCGTCTGGGTTCGGGTGCCCGTTCTGCCAGCGACAGGTGGGCTGTGTAACCTCAGAAGAGTCTCTTCCTGTCTCTGAGCCCATTTCCCTGTCTGTGCAGGAAGGGGCCTGGATAGGATCTTCTGGGTCCCCTCCAATTCAGACTTGATAGGACTAGAAGCCTGGGCTGTGCCTGGGAGCACTCAGCGGTGGCTGGGGTTGGGGGACGCAGAGAGGAATTCTCAGAAAGCTTAGGGGATAAATGCCACACCTTAAAAGAAAATGCCAACTTTCCTGAGTTCATCCTAGAGAAAGAGGAACAGCTCAGCAACTTGAAGCTATTTGTAGTCTGTGGACAGATTCCTCAATCCCAGGCTACCCCACAGAAATCACTGGAAAGGAAGAATGTCCTAGCAATGCCTAGATTGAATGCCACCCACCCCCCCCGGGGGGCTGGCATGGCCTCTCCCCTCTCCCTCCTCAAGCCCCACCCTGGGTATCTGCCCTTCGACACCTCCCGGCTGTGCTGATGACACAGCCCCCCCCCCACAGCGGTCCTTCCAGGTCCCCAGCCTGAGCAGGCCCCCACAGGGAAGGATGGGTGCACACTCTCACATGCCAGACCCAGGCAGGGCCCACTCAGCATTGCTTACTAAACAAATACCAGTGGCAAGTTTCTCTTCCTTTCCCCACGCAGGAGGCTGTCTCCGGAAGCAGCACCCTTGGCCCCAAACCCTACCCCGCATGCACTGGGCTCAAGGGACCCTGAGCTATGGAGCCATGGGTTCCCCAGGCTGGATCCTACACTGGAAAGTATCTGGCCAGGGGGGAGGCACACTTTCAGGGGACAGACCTGGGAGGCAGCCGAGTGGCACTGACTGCCCTCTGGGACCCATAGCTTAGCTTCACCTGCTCAGGCCCATGGGCATGTGTGCTCTCCCGCAGGGCCTGTGCCTGGACAGGATCTGCGCCCCCACACACTTTACCCCCCCAAAACACGCTCACACCAGACATATGATCCGAAGTACTACCGGAAAGGAAACTTGGCCACTGCTTCTCCATGTCACCAAATCCCAGGCTTACCCACCTCCCAAAACTGACCTGTGCACAACAGCCGCAAAAAGACTAGGAGAGGTGGGCGGTGGGAGGGTGGGGGTAGGAGAGGTGGGGGGCGGGTTGCGCTGGGTTATTGTCCACCGCACCAAGACCCTGCCCTCTCCTCCATTTCCCTACACGTAGGGGCTAAGAGGGGTCCTGCCCTATCAAATCCAAAACACAGTCCCCCTCTGCCCACTGAGACCCGCCACTGAGGTAGAAAGTGGGGCAAGGGCACACCCCAATCCTGGGTGAAACCATAGGTACCCTCCCCCTAAACCACGATAACTTCTCATTGCACCCACTCTCCTCCATCTCCCTTCTGAGTTCTGCCTGCTGGTGTAATGTCCCGGGAGAAAACAACCCCCAGAACTTTCCTATTCTCACTACAACTCCCTCCCCGCTCCCCCCAGAACCTAAGCCAAACTACTGAGGGACGCTGAGACTCCGAGCAGCGTCTAGACAGAAGAAAAAACACGTCCTTGTTCCGGGCGGGCGGGTCCGAGGCTCCCACCCGCTCGCCTCCCGGGGCGCGCGTCTCACTCACCGTCCCTGCTTGGTGATGATCATCTCCGTCTGGTGCTGATTAAACTTGGACCACAACAGGTGGTTGTTGAGCGCGACTCTCAGCTTCCCGGACACCTCCAGCCCCGCCGGCAGCGCGTAGTCCTCGCGCGGCCCCGGGTAGAGTCCCGAGCGCGGGTCCGGGGCCGCGTAGCCGTCCCCAGGCTGGTAGCCCTCGGCGCTCGCCGTCGGCGGAAAGGGCTCGCCCACCCCGGGGAAGCCGGCGGCCTGGGGCCGGGGCGGGTAGGCGTAGGCTCCGAGGAAGCGGCCCGGCGGAGAGGGCACCAGGGCGCCCCCGGCGTAGGGCGCCCCCAGGCTGGCGCCCCCGCGACGGTCGGCCGCGTCCTGGGCGCCGGGCTCCGGGTAGAAGTAGCGGTTCTGCGGGTCGGCGCCAGGCGCCCGGCCCTCGTCGCTCGCCGGCATCGGCTCGGTGCCCGTCAGCATGTCTCCGCAGCCCCGCGCCAAGATGCCCATCCGGGGCGGGCTGGCACCCTCCCGCAGCCGTCGGGGACCGGCCCCTCTCCGCGCGGGGGGGAGGGGGGAGGCAGGCGCGGGGGTCGCGAGGGGCGGGGCCCCGGGGGCGGGGGGGCGCGGGTGGGGGGATGGGGGCCCCCACCGGAGCCCGGCCTCAGACGCCTGGGTCCTGCGCCCGCGTTCGGCGGGCGCGCGGCAGCTGCCGGGCTCCCTCTCCAGCGGGCCGCTGTCACTAGCGTCGCGGCGCCTTTGCTGTGGCTTTATGAAGCTCTCCGGGCTCCCCCCACCCCACCACCTCGGCGCCGCCCCGCCTCACCCCGCCCCCTCGTGGCTAATACTCGGCAAATTCTATGCAGTCGCCGCCGAGGACCGGAGGCCCCCGCGGTGTGTGGCGGGGCCCGCGCGCGCCGCGAAGTTCGCGCTTAAAGACTTGCCTTCTGGAAGAGTCCACCGTCCACCTGAGACGCCAGCCCTTTTCTCTCCTCTGGACCCCCGTGGAAAGTCCACCCATCCTTCCAGGCTCAGCTCAAAGGTCCCCTCCTACAGGAAGCCTTCGGTGATGGCGATGGCCCGGATGGGACTCACAGGGCCTTCTGGCAGCACTCGCGGCTCGGAGCAACTAGCAGGGTCTGCACTCACTCCGAGCTGCCTAGGCCGCGAACATTCAGCAGATCCACTGATGCCCACCTTGCACCCAGGCTCTGGGCTAAGCGGCTTTGCCCGAAGTGTTTGTGTTCTTCCTCCAGGCCAGAGACCCAGGTGGGCTGTGTCCTAGGCATCTCGTTCCCCCAAGGCAGACCGGGCAGCGGGTGGGCAGCGGGCAGAGATCCCTGAAGGGGACTGCATCGCTGCAGCTGCAGATTTGCCGGGCCCTGGGCGGGCGGGGGGCAGCCAAGGCTCTGGAAGCAGCACTGACATGCAGCTGCTCAGTCTTGGCACTGGCTCTGCCTGTCACTCAGGTACGTGTGACCTGGACAAGCCACTTCCCTTGCCTAGAAGTCAGCCTTACGTGCCTCATCCGTAGAATGGGGGAAACACACTGTTGCACTTTTCCGAGGGGCTGGGCACCTCACCTGAGAGGGTGGACATGTGCAGGGCTTACCCCTGCGGGGAAAGCTGCCCTGAGCGGATTCAGAGCCGGGGGACAGGAAGGACACCCACTCGTTCCGGGGGGCTGCCTGCGTGAGGGGACGACCAGCCCAGAGCTTTTCTTCCTCTATTTTCCTTTTCTGTTGACTAACACAGAGTCTTCCTACGATGAAAACAACCCCCCTCCCCAGCTGAAAATAGTATCTGGAAGTTTTCCTTCATACAAAGATAAAACATACTCATAAAAAATTTAAGCAGTAAAAGTAAAAATGGGACTGTATAAACCACCCCAAATTCCACCCCCCAGAGGCAAACAGGATTAACATTTTGGTGAATACCCCTGCAGACATCACTCCCTGAACACAGCCTTTCTGTCTTTTGTGTGCAAGCGCGCACACACACACACACACACAATTTTATATAAACACCACACGTGCTGCTTTGTAATGTGTATTTTTTTTCACTCAACAAGGTGTCATGGAATTTTTTACATGTCAATATATAGATAAAGATTTACATTTTTAAGAGTGTTTTGAAAAATACTTTCACATTTTCATCGTGTTAAAGGTTAACCTCTCCTCCCAAGTACCCTCCCAGACCTCCTCACTTCTCCCCTGGGGGCTGGCCCCATCTCCCATCTCTGTCCCAGCCCAACAGAGCTTCACCCTTAGGGGTCCATGGGGACTCTCTGCTCCCAACTAGAGCTGAACCAAGAGGCAGGTTGGCAGGCGAAGGCGAAGCTGGGGACCCCAGGAGGCGGGCATGACCCAGGGAGGATGGGGGAAGAGAGAAGTCAACACATCCCCTGAGGATGGAGACCAGATCTGGGCACTGGCCCCTCCCCCACCAGTACCCACCATTCCCTCCCCTCCCCCCCATGCCTTAGGGAGGCAGGAAGTTTCTGCCTGCTGTTCCAAGTGAGGCAGCCTTGCCTGAAAGAGATGGTGACCTTGGGACCCTTGGCTACTTTTTGAGAAACATGAGAGATTTCAGTATGACTTCCCTGAATGACTAATTTCCCCAGGAGGTTTGAATGCTGACATCTCTTTTGGGGGACATTTTTGCTAAGTACTTGGCTGTGGAAGGCCAAATGGAGTCTTGTTCCTCCCTCCCTCCCCCTCCTCTTTCCCACATTAATACTCAGGTCAAGAGATGGATCCATCATCCCTCTGCCTCTGAACAGAATGACCTGAGCTCCCACCCAGGTTTCCGGGGCAGGAGGGATTATGAATCTCAAAATCAGGTGGACCTGGGGACATGTCCCTGGAGGAAGAGGGTGGCTGGGGGCGGTCTCTCTGTAACCTAATGGGCTGTCAGGGGGCCATCAACCCTGGATTCCTCACCCCCTCACTCCAATTTCTTCCACCCAAAAAAGAAAGTGCCTGTGAAAAGTGGGGGCTGAGTGGCCCTCATGTCACACTGCCAGTCCCGCCCCTCCGCCGGCTTGGGTGAGAAGAACCCTAGCAGTGACACCTCCTCCTCTTGTTGCTGCCTCACCCTCTTCCCAGGCCCCAGGGCTGGAGAGGTGGGAAAGAGACCAGGCCCCGTGGGATCCCCTCACTTTTCCATCACTGCCCCTCCCGGCCCATCTCCCATCCCATCGACCTGCTGAGCTTCCAGAAGGCTGGTCTACCAGGAGAAGCTACACAGGGTGTGTGTCCAGGATTTGAGAGGCCTGGTCTCCACCACATACCATGTGTTATGACACAAGCTGGATGGTGACGATGGGAAACCGAATGACCCAACAAACTCACACACCCTACTCGTGGCCGAGCCAGGGCTGGAACCCTGGTCTCTTGACTCCCTGGTCCAGTGTTCTTCTCACGAGAGTGTCTGCCTCCCCATTTCGAGTCAGAACAATAATAATAAATGAAAAGTCATGCAATCGCGTTGGAAGAGGTTTGGAAAACCGGAAAGAAAAGTGCCCCTCACCCACCAGCTTGGACACTAGTTTTCTTCACCCTGGTGTCCCATGCCCATTTTCAAGGCTCCTTTTTCAAGCCGTTCCAAGACTCAAAATGAGTGAGGCCCCCTTGATGTCACACAGCACCTGCTGCACCTGTGGGTCACAGACGGTGCCAGAAGGCTCTGACAATGTGCATCCCTGGGACCTGCTTCTGGAGATTCTGATTCCCAGGCCTATGGCAGGTCCCCAGAATCTGTGTGTTCAAGGAGGACTCCAGGTGACACTGGGCTCCAGGGAGCCCACACATCGCACTCTGGGCTCCCCTCCCCTCCGCTCTTCTACCCCCGAGCCTGGCGCCATAGAACGACCTTCAGCATGCCCGATCTTGCTGCCGTGTGCCTCCCTACGGTGGGTGGAAGGGCTTCAATATGCCCCAGGACAGCCACCACCAGCATAAAGACTTTCTTATCAAAGCTTCAGGACCGGATGATTCCCTCCTCACTGCAGAATCTAACTGCCACGCGGGGTCCTCTCCTTAAAATGTGTGGAGTGTCGGGGCGCCTGGGTGGCTCAGTTGGTTAAGCGTCTGCCTTCAGCTCAGGTCATGATCCCGGGGTCCTGGGATCGAGCCCTGCATCGGGCTCCCTGCTGCGTGCGGAGCCTGCTTCTCCCTCTCCCTCTGCCCCCGCCCCCCACCCTCATGCTCTCTCTCACTATCTCTCTCTCTAAATAAATTTTTTAAAAAAATGTGTGGAGTGTTGAGCTCCGCCAGGATGCAGAAGGCTCCTGAATGGGCTCACAGTGCACAGTGCAGGGAGGGCTGGGCAGCCAGCTGGGGGCAGGGGGCGGGGCGGGGGGGGGAAGCTGGGGGCTGTGGAGACTCAGAGGCAGGACCCAGGATGTCTCCCCTCCCCGCTGCTGGGCCCAGCCTGAGAGGGTAGCTGGGTGAAGGAGAGGGGGACAGCATGTTGGGGATGAGGCAGGAAAGGAAGGAGGGCCAGTGTCAGGCTTGGGCCATTCTGAAAGAGGCATTTAGAGATGGAGAGAGGCAGGGGCCACAAAGTCCGCACATGCCTCGGTGAGGAAGTCTCAGGTGGGGCGACAGGGGGTGCAAGGGGCGCCTGGGTGGCTCAGTCGGTTAAGCATCTGCCTTCGGGTCATGATCCCAGGGTCCTGGGATGGAGCCCCACATCGGGCTCCTTGCTTGGCGGGAAGCCTGCTTCTCCCTCTACCTCTGCTGCTCCCCCTTCTTGTGCGCTCTCTCTCTGTGTCAAATAAATAAATAAAATCTTTTAAAAAAAAGGGGGGGTACAAGACAGAAGAGAGGGAGACGGGCCAGGGAGAGGGAGGTGTACAGAGGCAAAGCTGCCTGTGAGGGCTGGGGGTGGGGCAGAGGGAGATGGGGGGCGGGCTTAGAACCCCAATTCCAACCCTCGCTGGCTGTGTGGCCTGTTCCAGTAGCTCAACCTCTCTGGTTTCCTGGTCAGCAAAAAGCCAGTAGACCTTCTACAAGGACAAACTGGGTGAACTGTATCTCAAGGGAGCTGTGAGGTTGGGTAAAGGGGAGGGTTTTGGCCCCAACACAGGCACGGATCAGAGGCCCAGGCTGGGCTAAACTGCCTCTTACCCCCTCTCTTCCAAGCTGGCCGCATCCTACTCTCCTCCCTCCGGTGGCCGGGGGTCCCTCACAAAGCGTCCTTCAGGCCAGCCTCCAGTCTTCCACTAAGGGCCGTGGGCCTAATGAGAGCTTCTCTGTAAGATTCCACCTCAGAAAGGACAGGCTTCCCCTCCTGAAATGCCCATCCACCATTCCCTGGAGGCCCGTGTCTCTGAGATGGGCCAGCCCCCCACCCAGGGACTCTGGGTTCACAGAGATCAATTAGGCTCAACCCCTTACCCCAAAGAGCTCCTAGCAGCGTGAGGCCAGGGCCAGAGTTCTTGAGCCCCTCAGCCCACTTGGCCCTGGAATCCCACGAGCCTGTGTGGATACCTGACCCCCAAGTGCACACACAGCCCACAGAGCGCTGCTAGACAAACCTTTGAGCCAGTCCCCACAGCCACACCCCTTCCCTTGTCCTACATCCAGGCTCCTCGGGCTCCTCGGGCATCTGCCTCGGCTCACCGCTCACCCGCCCTAAACACCCTCCCCCTTGGGGCCCAGATTGCCAGTCCTTCAGAGAGCATGGCCGGAACCATCGGATTAACAGCCAGGGAGGTCAGGAGAG